TTCAAAATCAAAACGCGGCACGGGTGTTTTATATGAATGTATCTCTGAAGGGAACCGACTGTCTTCAGAAAAGTTTCGATGACATTTTCATTTTTATCTGATAAAGTAGCGTTCATGGGCGGAGCTGCTTTGATTACAGCCGTTACCAGGGAAACCGCTAATTTCATCACTCTTAAAGTGCCTCCTGCTGGCAGAGAATGAATTTGCATTTTCAATAAGCCCGTCTCCAGCAACATGTTTTTGTTGTGGCTAAATTTTTTTGTTTTCTGCAGCAACTCCGAGCACTTTTCATATTCTTTATTCTGGCTGAAGCACATTTGTTTCAATCTATAAGAATAATCAGCCTACATTACCAATCAAAAGTTTTTAACAGTAAGATTTTTAATGCTTATTTATTTTTTATTAAGAATTCTCTTCTGCTCACCAAGGCTGCATTTATTTGATCCAAAGTACAGCAAAAACAGTAAAATTTTAAATAATTTTTACTATTTAAAATAACTGCTTTCTATTTGAAAGCAGTTATTTTAAAGGGGTCATATGATGCTTTTTTAAAGATCATTATTTTGTGTATTTGGTGTAACAGAATATGTTGACATGCTTTAATGTTCAAAAAACACATTATTTTTCAAATACTGTACATTATTGTAGGTCCTCTATGCCCCGCCTCTCTCAAACGCTTCGTTTTCTACAAAGTCCCTCCTTCCGACAAGCGCAGTCTGCTCTGATTGGCCAGCTGACCCAGTGCATTGTGATTGGCCGAACACCACAAGCACTCGTCGGAAATGTAACGCCCCTTACCATAATCACGAGCTTCATCTTTCAAAATAAATGTAAAGACAGAGCCCAAAAGGGGAACAGAGTCGCGTGACAGACACAGTGATGAAGCTGGTATGTGTTTGCAGTACACAAGCCACGGTTAATAAAAAAAACATAAAAAATCTTACTGTTCAAAAACTTTTGGCTGGTAGTGTATGTCAGTCTATAGTTTGATATGAGGTAAACATTAAATCTTAAATATTATATAGTTTTATAGGAGGAGGTTTCATAGACTTGGGAAATTCATTTTTCAGAAGTTTTTAGGTACAGACATCTGTTGTGGGTGTTCTTGGCAGTTTTTATGAGGCTTTTTTTAAAATAGTGGTCATATCGACATCGAAATTAAGAAATATATCGTGATATAAATTTTGCCGTTATCGTTCAGCCCTACAATACAGTATTGTTTCAATTTCGTAAACGAAAACAGTTCCAAACAAAGTTACAGCAGTGTTTCTTTACTGAATAAATCCAAATTTTTTGTGCCAATTATGCAATGACCCATTCATAAAGACACTTGCTTCGTTTCTGAATGAATCAACTGTTTGAACAAATCAGTTAAATGAATGACTCAATGACTCAATGACTTGCTCATTAAAACAGACTTGCTGCCACCTACTGGTGGTTTTAGTTTCATATTCTGAGCATCATTTCATTTTTTAATCATATTTCAATATCCAATCCAATATCATAGCATTATTTATGTAATTCTAATTGCACTGTGAATGCAATGCCACCTGTGTAAATATAACTAAATGCCACTTCATGCGCAGACTCTGAAAAAAAAAATGGCCACATTGTAAGTTTAAAAGTACGTTTAAAATGTAAATGTTTGTGTAATAAATTATGTTGAGTCAAAATAATTATTTCTAAAGCTACTCTTTTGTCATTAATGTGTTACTTCATTTTTGTATCTAATTAATTAAATGATGTGCCAATTAATTTAAAGAAATTAATCAGCACATCATTTAATTAATTAGATTAATAAATTTTAATCACTTGTCAGCCCTAGTTTTTATATTTTAATTATTATTTTTTTTTTTTATCTCAAAGTAAACAAACAGCATTTTCTCAAACACACTGAAGTGATTAAAGCTCATCAGAGGACAGACCAACAAACTTTTCCGGCTCAGAGAAGTATTTTCTGAAGGACAAGCGACGGCATGTGTTCCTCTGATTACCTGAGCCCCCGTGTGGTACGCCGAGAACAGATTAACCAAATCCAGTTTCCAGAAAATCTCTCCTGCACATTATCTGAGTTTTTCCCCTGTGGAAGCCTCCGCTGAACCCTGGGGTCTCTCCTCCCACCCCTCGTCCCCGTGCCATGCAGCAGAGCGTAGCCAGACGGGATTCAGACACACATGACTACACAAAGCCCCGTTGAAATGAGTTTACTCACTCCGAGCTCTGATCACAGGCCTTTTAATTTCCATCCGGCTCCAGTACAATAACACCCCGTTTCCCTCTCTGTGCCACGATGGAGCTGGAAGATCAAGAACAAACTAACTGTGTTCACAGGTCTGTCGACCTAAACCACCTGTCTTAGGATTTGACATCATGCACAACCACTTTAAAACAGCTGCCCTCAACCACAGAAATAACAACCCTTCAATTAAATCACTCATCAAAACGCAGGGCGGAACAGGTATGAATGGTGTTTTTGATGCATTCTGGGTAAACGGAATTATAGGCCACATTAAGAGGAACAGGAAGCCAATGAGACAAAATCAAGTGAGCTGCTTACCTAGACAGTATCTCCAAGGCATTTTAAGTTAGTGTATACACCATCAAAATAAAAGATATAGCCAGATCATCATATGCATGCTTCGTGGAGAAGGCAATCCCATAATGCAGTACACAGAGAAAACACATTTTTCCAATATAATATCAGTAAGAGAAATGTTAACTATAAATATACTTATTTCATTAAGTACTGCGGAGTATATATATATTTATTTCTTAAATTAAAAATTACTTTATTAAATAAAAATATAAATGATAAACTTCATTTAATAATCATAATCATTTGTAGTCAAGTCTCTAGTGTGGAAAACTAGTGACTAATAAGTTAATTTCATATTTGTATTATAATACGTGTATTAAAAAAAATAATACATTTATAAAGAAATATATACAAATTATTACGATATATCGTGCATCCCTAATTAATTTCATATTTGTATTATAATACGTGTATTAAAAAAATAATACATTTATAAAGAAATATATACAAATTATTACATAAAATTATAATAATAAAATTTCATATTTGTATTATAATACGTGTATTAAAAAAAATAATACATTTATAAAGAAATATATACAAATTATTACATAAAATTATAATAATAAAATTTAAAAAACTACTGGAATAAATTGTAGTCAAGTCTCTAGTGTAGTCACAAAACAGTGACAAATAAATTAATTTAATATTTTTATTTATAATAAAAACAATACGTTAATATAAAAGCATATATAAAAATTATTAAATTAAATTATAAATAATAAAATAATAAGCACTATTGGAATCTCTAGTGTAGTTAAAAAAAATAATATAATTATAATTATAATATATTAATTTCAAATTTCTATTTATAATAATAATGTATTTACAAAAAAATACATTAAAATATATAAGTAATAAAAACACTATTGAACACGTCTCTAGTGTAGTTATAAAAATGGAATTCATTTCAAACTGCTATTCATAATAATAACAGCACGTTTACAAAAATATTATTAAAATATTAAATTAAATTCTAAATAATAAAATAATGGAATAAACTGTAGTTGAGTCTCTAGTATGTAAATAATGAATACATTTCATATATTAATATATTTTATATTTCTATTTATAATAAAAACAATACATTTATAGAAAAGTATATAAAAACTACTAAATAAAATAATAACTAACTTTTGAAATCAGTCACTTACAGTTAGGCATGGGCCGGTATGAGATTTTGACGGTATGATAACCTTAAGCAAAAATATCACGGTATTGTTGTTACAGCTCTAAAATTTGATATTTTAAATTTTTTAATAAAGATTTCTCCGCTGAACACAATATATTTTGTTTTTGAGCAACATACAGAATATTAGGAACAGTAGAATTTGTTTATTTTTTCTTTGATTTGTTTCCTAAAAAGAAGAAAAATAAAGACTGACATCTTTATTGAACCTAAATCTGTAATTACAGTTATTTAATTTTAGTTATATAATTCATATACATATCATTTATATAATTTCATATCATTTAGTTATATAATTTCATATACATAATTTGATTTAATAATAACCCAATTTGAAGCAAAAACAGAATGTTCTGTTCTGACTAGCTTTGTGAAATTATACTACATGCCTGAACGAAACAAACAGCAGAAGCTCTGAATGAGATGCATATTCACTCTCTGACAGCAGGAGGCGCTTCTGGAACACCAGATACAGCGTTTCCTTGGTTACCGCCACAAAGCAGCACTGCTGAAACAGGTAAACTTTTCTAAAGACAGTCAGTTCCCCTCAGAAACACATACATATAAACCCCCAAATCAATATTGAGGATTTTCTTCCAATAGTTCGTGCATCATGAACAGTGAGTGATCTGCCTGCTACAGTATTTTTCTCTGTGCGTCCATCTTCAGCGTCTCTGGCCTGTGTTAACGGGAGTTTACACACTTCATATTTTCACATAAATTACATTTTGGAAAACGATTGCATTGCAACGCAGTTGAGAGTCCAGAACAGAGACGAGTTGCTTGCAATAAGACAAAAAACGTAAGTTCCAGGGAAAGCTCCTTAGTTTGGCCATCCTACACACACGTGACTGACCGCTCGCTCGCACCAACAGGAGGAGGAGGGTCGTGTTACTCTCTACACTGCACTTAACCTGAGGGATTCCTACACTTTCAGTCTTGAGGAGACATGAAAAACAGCGCATACCGCGGGAATATTTGTGGGGCATATTTGTGGTTTTGAAACCGTGACATTTTCAAATCGCGGTATACCTTGAAACCGGTAATCAGCCCATGCCTACTTACAGTATGTTTTGCTGTGAGATGCTGCCTGTGTAGACCGAAAAGCAGCTATCTGGGTTATGGAACAAAACTAGACCACAGCATCTTGACATGAAAGTTGAGAGGCACACAGATAAAAGGGATTCCCCGTGTTTAAACACTACTATCACTCACCATACAATCCCAGCTGCTAGTGTGAACACATCACTCCATCCTGTTGACAGGGAAGTATTCCTGGTATGGATCGTAAGTCATAAAACTCTGAAGGATCTGTTTGGAAAACAATGCATAAGTGCAAGATGAGATACTATCTCATGCTTACGACAGGTTTGATTCCCTCTAACCCCCCAAAACCAATCCAGGAGAGTTAATTAACAACGCTGATACAGTCGCAACCCAGCGGCAATGACCACATCAAAGCACAATGAAAGTGATCTGTATTTATGAAAATCACGTTCTAGCCTCATTTTTAATTATCAAAGTCAGTGTGTCCCCCGAGTAAAGAAGGAAACTATTTCAATCAATTACTTTCAAGGGAAGAAAAAGCTTGGGTCGGTATTAAACCCGTTTAGTTGTAAATAACAATTAAACCTTTGTTGGCTTGATTGCTGGTTCCCGTATGGAGATTATGAAAACTGAACTGCACTACGGTCAAAACAAAGTATTAGTTCCTCAAAGCTGATAATGCTTCTGCATTTTTTCAGAAATTAGCCTATTAAGTGCAAATATTTGCCCCAGGAACTGGTATTTATGGGGCATTTTTACCTTCAAAAGGGCATGTTGAATAACAACACACTAATCATTTTTGTAAAACACTTTAACTGAATCAATTAACTGACATAAATCTTAAATTTGAACACTTATGGCTTAAATATACAATCAAACCAACATGAAAAGTAGCTTATTACATACAATATTTCGTGGCAGGTTCCCATTGTGATGCTATTGGGGCATGTTGTCACAGACATTTTTTGTGTTTTCAATGACTGTGAATCTAAACTGTGAATCTAAACTTCTGATCAATAACAGTGAAACTGTCTCTCAGAAAATAAAATCTATAAACTAGAGTAAAAAAGAAAAGAAAAGTGTGACTAGCCAGGGTTATCTCCATATGAAACGTTAAACAGCAAGAATTGGCCAGAGATTCTATTGTGATTCTGTTGGGGCATGTTGTCACAAAGGGTCAATGTGTTTTCATTCGATTGTGAATACAAACTACTGATCAATAATGGTGAAAACTGTCTATCAGCATCAGATTTTTAAAAATAAACCAAGAAACTAAAGTAAAAAGTGTGACAACTAGCCCCGGTCTCCTGTACATTAAATGTTAGACAAGAAGAATTGCTATTGGGGCTATTGCTATTATTTTGAATGAATTGTGAATCTGTACTCCTGATCAATAATGGTGAAACGGGGTTTTAAAAACAAACCAAGAAACTAATGTAAAAATGAGACAACTAGCCCTGGTCTCCTCTATATGAAATTTTAGACAGCATGAATTTGCAAAAGGGACCTTTTTGACACCACATTTTAGTCACTTTTGGCCCAAATCTGACCTTGCTTGTGACTCAACACTAGCTTTAAGTTTTTTCACTCTCCATATGTGTTCTCTACTGGCTCTCGTATGATGCAATGCACTTCACAGCTGCGTCCACCAGCTCTGACCTCCTGTCCTGCCTGACTGCGGATAGCTGATTCATTTCCATCTGTATACCAGCAGATGAGAGATTCCTTCTGTCTTTCAGCCTTTCCTTTTCTCAGGCCATTCAGAGCAAATGAATTCAGCCCGTCTAAAGTCCTTCTCACCAGGACACGCTCAGAGGGGATTCTCCTTGACTCTGACCGACTCGCATATTTGCAATTCATCATCTTCCTCACACGGCTACACAATAGCAGCAGCACAGGAGCTTTGTCATTCTAACGACACACGCATGGACTGTTTACGGCGTCTGACAGCCGCAGAAAGCCTGCGTTTGCTTGTTGATGTTCTGTCATTAACTACCAGTTCAATTAGCATTTAAGACCACGGGTGGAAGACGATAACAATGTTTTAAATGAGCTTTGTTCGTTCAGGATGTACCTTTTGATATGCAACAGGCAATTGGAAAAGCAGCATTATTAAGACATGCAACTTTGCTAAAGGCAAAATAAAACTTGTTTTGCAAACCACAATCCAAATGTCACACATGCAAACTCATATCCCCAGCCAAACAAACTTCATTGGAATTTTTGCCATCATTTGGATCCAAATAGGAATTCCAACGTAGAATTCCAGCAACCAACAAGTAGATCTTAAGAACAGATAGTTCACAAAAGGACTATTAGGTTCCCAATGGGATCAAATGTCAATGTAGAACATCACAAGGACATTAAAGCATATCTTTCAGGGTTTCAAAACTATTACATCTTTCTTTAAACCCTAGTAGAAAGACATTATTCAAATAATATACCAGCAAAGTTCTGATAAAGACAATATGCAATATGCAATATGACTCAACAGGGCTCAACTTACTTTTATGGTTACTCCCAAACACTGGATAAGGAAATTAAAATATATTTTATAGAGGTAATTTGCACTGAATTTCTTTCACTGAAATATTTTGTGATTATTTAAAACACTAGAGTATTTTGAAAAAAATAACTAAATAAAAAAAATGAACATTAACAATACATATTTTTAAAAATGAACAAAAGTAATTAAAAAATATAATCAATAAAAAAAAAACTCAAAAAGGTTTACAAAAAATAAATAAATGAATATAATTCCCTTATATTTACAGGTTGTAACTGTGGGGGACCCTGCTGACACTAAAAGAATTTAACAATAATGAAGGAAACATTTTACCGAAACACAATCTTATGCAATTCTTGTGTGATTCCATTAGGATTTTTTAGGATTTATTGCAAATGATGACTCAAATTCCAACAGGAGTATTATGACTACTATATACCAGCTATACATGAAACCTCAGTAACAACAAACCTAAAGTACATATGTATAAACTTATGAAACCATTGAAAGTGACTAACATGCTTTGCACATCTACAAAAAAGACTTTAAGATCTGTGTTCAGTATACAATAACCAACAATAAATATGTAAACATGTAATGGTTATTAATGTATTGCCGATGCAAACCCTTGTTTACCATGTCAATAAGCTTCTTTGAATGTTCAGATAGAGCAAGTCAAAGAGAGACAGACAAAGTCAGACGTACAGACAGCACAGTTCAGATGTGGGAAATCCTTTTTATCTGCCTTCTCTGCCTCTCGACAGATATCCAGAGTCTTTGAAGCCGTGAAACTGCAGCGTGTCTTCTACCGAAAAGCATCAACACAAACCCAAAGCCTGCCGCCACACCTCAACAACCACACAAACGTCTTACCTTCCCAGGGGACGATCCTGTGACCCAATGACACGCATCCTTTCTAAAATCTCATGTTTCCCGCAGCGCCGTCCACATTCCGTCTCCAACTCCACAACATACTGACTCTCACGTGTGTGGCCGCGAACTGAAACAGCTTGGGATGGGGGCTGTGTCCGTTCAGCGATCTCCCCCCTCTTCTCCTCCCCTCTCCCACACTCTTTTTACCTCCTTCCCCTTCCCCCTTTCCTTCTGTCTCGGAATGACCGAGATTTGGAGCAGGAATGCGTGTGGTTCTGCTCCTTATGGTCTGTCTGAACGGTCTGGTATGACCCTGCAGAGAGCACCAAATTTACACAAGAATTCAAACCCACCTCTCACAAACACAGACTCCACCCACTTCTCACACCTTTCCCCACAGAGCTCCGCCCACCTCAGGGCAAATTCTCAGCTGAAATAAAGTCTGCAAAATAAAGAGCGCATCCCACAAAAAAAAACATGCCTAGGGCACATTTAACCACAAAATCAAAAGAAAAATTATGAATTATATTTTTTTATAAGCTTATTTTTTTACCATTACAATATTATTTTTTTGACTATTAAGCACATTTTCCTGCTCTCATTTCTATCATCTGTCTGAACTGCTCTGGCATGACCCTGCGGAGAGCCTCAAATTTACAAGTTTTCAAACCCACCACTCACAAACACTGACTCCGCCCACTTTTCCACACCTTTACCATACAGCTCCACCCACTTCAGGCAACTTGTGCCAAATTCTCTAGCTGAAATAGTTTGCAAACTAAAGAGCACATCCCACCAAAAAAAAAACGAAAAGTCGATATCTAGGGCACATTTAACAAACAAACATATATATTATTTAAATATATATATATATATATTTGTTTATATATAAGCTTATTTTAGGATCCCCCCTCCTTTCCATTAATCTTTTATTTTTCATTTTTTTTAATGCAATATTATTTTTCTGACAATTAAGCATGTCTCCTTCCTATTCCTGTGATCATGATGTGCTTGGACATTTTATTTTTTTCCCCATTATTCTCAATAGACTATATTACTGAAATACAAAGATTTTTTTTTTTTTACATTAATTTTAATCAATGTTATTTAAAGGTTTAATAAATGCTACAACAAATTTTACCATGCTGCATAAATATTTTAAATAATGTATCATTTTTCTTTCACATAAAAGCAATGAAAATGACATTTTATTGCATTACGGCAAAGGGCATATGAGGGGAAATATGTGCTTAATTGTCATTAAAATAATGTCACAATGCAGTAAATCTATAAACAGGCACCATTTTATCATGAAAAATATAATTTAGTATTTTTTCTTTTGATTTTGAGGTAAAAAATATGACCTTAACGTGCTTAATTTTCACTAAAATAACGCCACAATTCAATAAATATATAAATGGGCTCCATTTTGTCATGCAAAAATATTATTTAGTGCTTTTATCTTTTGATTTTAGGGTAAAACTATGTCCCAGGCATGTTCAGGCCCTAAAAGGGTTTAGTAATATTCGCCCATCATGGCCTCACTATTATCTATTGACGTCTACAAAAAACATCTATCTTATGCCACAATACTCGCTCGAAGAGGTTAAAATATTTGGACTGAACAGCATGCATATGTGTCTGTGGAGATAGAGGTGTGATTGGTGGGAAGGCAGCAGCATTGTTGTCATAGCACCAGAGCTGTAGGAGGAGAGAGACACAGACGTCAATGATGACGACCTGAGCTGAATTCATTTTCAATACGCACACGCGCACACACCTTGTGTAGGTATTCTGGGACCCCCCCTCTCCCACACTCGTTTTACCTCCTTCCCCTTCCCCCTTTCCTTCTGTCTCGGAAT